GCTAAGGCAGCAGGAATTGCTATGGTCTGACCTCTCCAGCCCCAAGTCTAAGGAACATAGAAATTGCTGGCCTGGTGGCAGTTATGCTTGGGGTTTCCCCAGGATAAGAAATGAGGTTGGCTGAAACAGGTGCAATATCAATGGCAAGGCAAGCCAAAATCCTACTGGAGAGTCTGGATATCTTTCCATGTCTGCATTCTGCATATTATGAAATGGAGAGAAAAGATGAGATAAATTTGCAAGTAAGTACTTATGAGACAAGGCTCTCCAAAACCATTATATAAGCATACTGGGGTGATGTGTGCGTGTGTATGGGGAGCGGGGAAAGGAGTAAAACACGATCAGCCCAGGAATCAGATCCTTTACATTTCAAGCTGTAATTATACATAGACAAAAATGAACAAATTTCAAGGCCCCATGCAGTCAAGTCTCAACTGCATTTCTGGGATTATCTTTGACAAACTTGAAAATCTTATTAGTTGGAGTGTGCTCATAGAATTAAAATTGATATTATTAATATCACAACAAAATGTAGCTGGGACAAAGAGCCCATTATAAAAAATTAACTTTTGGTCAAAACAAGTTTTGTTTTTTTTTTTAATTTCCTACTGTACTACAACTCTACTACATTAATGGAGCTAATCACAGCTTCTGCTTAAATTGGACCACAATCTATCATGGGCCTATAAACACATTCCTTAGTTCCTGGATGCTTTTTTTTGTTCTCTGTATATACCTATCGCTCTCTCCAGGAAAGTGCTCCCCAAAACCCTCTTCTCTCTCCAGTCATCAATTATTCCAGTAAAATAGGAACTATCACAGGAATGGAGAACTAATTTAAAAACCAAACATAAACTTCCTTGATGAGCAACAAAACACAATTTCAAAACTGAAGAACCCAAAGAGCATTTTCACACTGCCCAAAAGACAATGTGTGAAATAGGATGGGATATGAGTTACTTACTACTGTTGAGATCTATTAGGAAAACTCTCTTCAGATGCTTGTGGTAGACCAAGGCAGCGTGGACCCGAGAGCAAGACTGGTGGTCAATGGTAAAGTCACACAAATCAGGGTTTCTCCCAAATAAGTAATATTTCTTCTCATCAATGATCAGTTTCTAAATAAATTAAATTAAATATTACTTAAAGCTTGTTTCAACAGGGTTTAGCAAAAATTCTTCCAATAAACTAAGTAGAGCATCTTAAGATAAAATTCCTTGTCAAAGGAAATATTTATATTTACTATTATTCTTCAAGATAAAGAGCTCAGAATAATTTACTAACATTGGGGGATGGATGGCAATTAATCTCCCCAAATGTAGTGGTCAAATGTTTAGTGTTGATATGAAAAGAACTTTCCTAATCGTATTAGATGTAAATGGCATGCAAGAGTGGTTGTCTTCTGACCACTGGAAATTTAAGATTTCACTGAATCTTAATTTTAGGTCAAGCAGGAAACACAAAGCATGCCTATAAAGTAATAAGACCGCTTTTTAGAAAAATATATATTCAAATGAAGATTATCAATTGGTTCAAAAAGGAAGGGGATATAAACACCTATCTATATTCTAATCATGCTGCCAGAGACCCAGAGTATTTCTGGAACCCTCTTTAGAAACTAGAATTACATTAGACATCATTGTATGAGCCTCTAAATCTAACTTTATTGTCCCATTTCATTTTGGCCACAAAAAAGCATTACTCAAAGTTAACTCTAAATGAGCATTTGCTGTGTCCAAATATGGAACAACCTCACAGGGCAAAGATTTTCCAGGTTTCGGGGAAGGGGATGTAGGGATTAAACATTTATTGAAGAACTATTATTGCTAGGCATTTTTAAGTATTATGTCATCTAATCCTCAAAACAACTCTGTGAACCAAGTATCACCTTTACTGTTAAACATAAGAAAATAGATTCAGAGAGATGAAGCCACGTATCCAAGGCAGTCCAGCTGGTTAAGTAGCAGATCTGGGGTTTAAACTCAGGTGTGAAATGACCTGCAATGCTAACATTCTAAACAACAGTGCCATGGGTCTGAAACAATTCTGAGAAGAGCTCCAAAATGTTTCTAGCCACTGCTGTGGTACTGGAAAAAACAAAACTGTATAAGGCCCCAATATAATAGCAGAAAAGAGGATTTTGCAGACCAGCAATCTATTATTTTAAAAATTGTAGGGGCTGACATAGTATTGTTAACTTTTCTTTTGCCATACGAGAACTATTTTTTTAATTGTCACCAATCAGTATTATAATCATTTTATGAAAGATAGGTCATTTTAACAAATAAGTAAGAAGAGGGATAAAGGACCACTCTTCGAGCTGAATTTATGAAAAACTCACTACACTGTCTTTATTTTTCTTTTAGTCCTAGATCAGTAAAGCCTTTGCCACAGACTGGTTGTAGACTGGGCCATCATAGATGAAGGACTCTAGATAAATTTTCGCTAACACTGCTTTCAGTTCTTAAAGTCTACAATATGAGTACTTGAAGAATAACCCTCATTCATATACATTACGGTGTTCCTTTAAGTTTTGGGGGGGTTTTTTGGCTGTGCCACGCGGCTTGCAGTGATTTTAGTTCCCCCACCAAGGACTGAACCAGTGCCCTCGGCAGTGAAAGTGCCGAGTCCTAACCACTGGACCGCCAGGGAATTCCCTGTTTTTCCTTTAAACACAAGGTCTCACTAAGCTCTAGTTCACATTTCACACTATGCTCCTTCTAAAATCCCTGAGAGAAGACAGCACAAAGTTGAGTAGGGAAGTATAGTCAAAGAGTAGGGAAGTATAGTCAAACTAGGATGTACCAGGCTAGGAATCAAGAGGCTTATATTTCATTCCTGGCTATGTCATTGAATCCACAGTGGGCTACAATTCTCCCCTATGCTTTAGTGTTCTTACAAAACCAGAAATACACCTCACGTACTAATAACAGTTAACAACTGCTGAGTACTTATGTGCCTATGTGCTATGAGTTTTATGCTATGTCATTTCATCCTCACAACCACTCTGTGAAGTAGGCAGGCACTATTATTCCTATTTTTATAGATAGGAAAAGTGAGGCACAAAGAAATTAATTAACATATGCAAGTTCACACAGCTAGATATTTATAAACTGGATTAGAAATTTCAGGTTTGTCTGACTTCAGAGTCTAAGCTTTTCAAACCACTACATTATATATTTTCTTCACTCTTCCTGCATCAAAAAATCCACCATATGGCAAAAAACATTTTAAGGAGTGAACAAGTACTATGGGTCACACTCTTAATTGTTTTTTAAACAATCACTTACCCAGTTCCTTCCCAGCTTAGCTTTTAAGGCTCAAAATAGGTATGGGGGTCACCTCTGGGAAACCCTGTCCAGCAGTGCCCACCTGCTGCTGGCAGAGCTTGTCCCAGGCTCCTAGTGCTAGGGAGCACCAAGATTCAACAACAGCCTGACAGCTCAGTCACACAAGCATCCCCATGTCTGCTCAGACCCAAGTATTAAGACTTGGGTTAAAAATAAGACATTGCTTCAGAATTGAGAGAGCCCTGAAATTTCAGCATCTTATTCTCTCTAGATAATATCTATGCAGGTTGAATCTCACTGCATTTCTCATTCATATTTATGTGCGCATAGATTATGTCCTCATAAGCTGAAATTCGCTAACCAAAGTGTTCACAGGCTAGACTTAAAGAAACAGTACATAAGATCACCAGCACTTGGGCTCTAATATAAAACTGACCACATTTCTATGATTCTAAGCTGCCAGTACCAGCGATTTAGGTGTTTAGAGGGGAAAAAAAAGAAAGGGCCTCCAAATTAAATATATACATTCACTATTAAAGGCATCTCAATTATAGAAATGTGAAAATGTAGGGGAAAAAATAGTATGCCTCAGAAGCAAGAAAATATGTGAATTCTTAGACAATATGCTTCTTCTGTCCAAGTGAATGAAATAATGCATTGGTCTTTCAATAGCCACTAAGCCACAATTTCTTAACTAGCTATGGCTAGTACCATTATTCAGTTGTGCCTCTGAGTTATAACTCAGAGTGTATCTTTACACACTGGGCTTAAAAGACTCATGGCTTTTGTTTTAATATTGCACTTCTTAAACCCAGCTATCACAACACATCACAAGCCTCTGACATAAGGCTAGGACACAGATAGCTCGGTTAGTATCAAGTGCTGCCTAAATCCTTAAAAAATAAGCACATCTCGTGTCTATTCCTCTCGGAAACAATACAGTGATGTCTAAGTATTGTAACATGACAGTTTTGTGGCAACTCAGCATACCTAAGAGCACTGAAAGAGAACATTATCACTTAATGGAAACCAGTAATTAGAAGGATGTTTGACAAGTCAGAGTGCTTTGAAAGTATAAATTATTTTGCAGAGGAATATGACATTATCATTAAAGCTAGCCCTCCTTGTCTGTTTCTTCCTGTAGTAAACTAAAGATTTACTAAATTCTGGTTATATATAAAAAAAGACTCCTATATGTCTATTTAGCAACAATATTTTATATGTGTGGAATAGTCTACAGTGTAACAAAACAAAACAAAAAAAATAAACATTTTAGCTAACTTATTCCCTTGAATAATCTTGGTACTCTATAATCTTTAAGATAGAAGAACACATGACAAAGGGGATCTAAGTGACTGGCTCAGGGCTTGATGAATTAATAAGAGAATTCATCACAACTCATGCCTTAATACTTTGCAAAATACGTGGGTATCTCTACAACATCCTGAAAGTGAAAACACTCTATTTATAGAACATCCTGCAGGAGACCTCAAAGATAGCTTTTCATTATGGAGTGCAATGTTTTTACTATATATACCAAAGAAAAATAACTGCACTCAATAATAGGGCCTTGAACTTAAATTCTATCTGAGCAAGCAAACATAAAATTGGTTGAAGACACAGAGACTCACAACTCCACAGTCAGAGTGGGCTTAATCTCCATCTCTTGGTAAATAAATGGTAACATAAGGATTAAAAAAAAGTACACAACCTAACAGCTAATCAAAATTCATGTTCTTTTGAAGTTCTATGTGGTTTTCATTCTAGAGACTTGTAGAAAAGCTGGAATTCTGCTTAACTTGTCCTTTATAGTACTTATTTCAATTATAATCATGCAAATTTTTGTTTGATTCTGTTGTTCCAATCAGATGATTTCTTTGAGGACAGGAACCACATTTGTTCTGTTCACTGCTATAGTCCTATGCCGAGCACAATGACTGGCACATAATAAGTACTCAGTAAATGTTTTGAATGAATGAATGAATTTTGTCACCATTTCCATTCTCTTTTTTGAGCAAGTATCTTAGTTTACTATCTTCTTTGAAGAGTTTTGGTTTGAATCTCATAAAAGCAACTTAAAAGTTAAATTCAATCTATATCATTCACTTTCTTCTTCAATTACTACAGATCTTGCACCTTCCATACAACTCCACATACTCAGAGAGAAGGAATTCACCAAGTTATAGGGCATTCAGTTTGACTGAGGCCTACAAGCCCATGATCTATTAAAACCCTTCATTTGGAAGGTGAGAGGAGTCACAAAAAACTGAGTGTCTGTGGAGATACATGGTTTTAATGTGTTATATCACCATGTGCTTTTAATAGAAAAAAAAAATCAGGATGAACGAAAGTAGCATTTCTGTAAAACAAAGCACAGGAGAGGAGGTGGAAAAGTGAGTCACTGGCAAAAATCTTTAGTGTGGTGGGAAAAAAAGGGAAGACATGTACTTCCATACCTCAATTAGCTTGTCTCCTTTGACTACATCCAGATGTAAACCAGGAGGGGGTTTACCTGCCCTGAAAAATAAGTGTGAAAAAACATTTTCAGGATGAGTTTGTAGATGCTATTTACAATCATTATCCCATTCAAACTGTAGCTCTCTTACGAGCCTATAATTAGTTCACGTTCAAGCAGAAATGCCATCTACTTCACTGTTATTACAGCTCCTTTCTACATTTGACACTTACTTCCCCAGTGATTCAACTGCTCTGAAACATATTTTAGTGGATCTGTATTTAGAGCAGCACCAAAGAAACCCATATTTTAACACTGGATTATCCACCTTGGAGAGAAAGCAGCGCAAAGACTGCAAGTACTATAGCTGGGGTTGTCTGGTCACTTGGAGTCTGAATCTAAGATTTGCCACTACCATTAATTAATACCATATAAAGGCAGAATAAATCAGTTGGTGTCTGGGGCTGATCAAGACTAGACTCATCACAGAATAAGCAGAGGGTACTGTCCTGAGCTCTGAGTCCAAATCAGAGAAGTGTAATTGGGGAGCTAGGGCAATCCAAAACTATGCCCATGAAACCAGGTGCCAATAAATACAAGACATATTTGTGAACCTTGAACAGGTCATTCTACAATGGCATGGGTAAGGGAACTTTTCTCTACACTCCTGTAACCACACCATCCAAGGGAGATACATGTATGTCAAAGCACCTAACACAATGCCTGGTGCCTAACAGACGCTGAGGAAATGGTAGGTGATCTTATACAGTCTCTTCTAACTAAAAGTTTACTGTCCTGACCCAACTTCTGAAATCAATGCAGCAAGGAACCAAAATGGACACATTTTGAAGCAACTGGGTGTTACAAAAGTGCAGAGGGACCCAGAAAATAGCCACACATTCACTTGCTTCCTGTGTTTGCTCCTTTTAAGTTTGAAGGATGAACAATCTTGCCAGAGTCCCTACATACGCACACACAAAAATGCATCTGTTTACATCTAACTTAAGATGCAACACAGTCATCTCACAATCCTGACCCAACTCCTCTATGGAGGTTGTCAGTAAGACAAGTGCATTGGACAAAAGCCCATTTTGTCTGGAAAACAGGGAAAGCCAAGTTATGTCTAAAACATGCTTTCTGAACTCCTACTATGTGCCAGGCTCAGGCCTAGGAACTCGGAATATAAAGATGCGTTAGGCAGCCCTTGCCCTTGAGGATCTCTATATAACGGGGGCCAGAGAGTAACACAAACAATACACTGTGATGAGCAGAAACAGCCCCAACTCGGATGGGTCTCCTTGCAAGGCAATTCATATGTATTCATCGTGTACTCTACTCAAAGACTAAAATTATTCCATTATTCCCAAGAACTTGCGAAAGGAGGAAAGGGGTTCATCCTAACAAGCAAGGATGCCCTCTGCTGCCCGGCTTCGCGCTGGTCGCTGAGGCGAGCTTGGGGGTAGGTCAGAGCCGTTCCTGCCCTCAGGGAGCTCCCAGTCTGCGAGACACAGGCAAGTGCCGCACCCAGGCTGCATCAACAGCCGCGGGATGCGGGGCTCTGAGGGGGGCGCCGGGGCCGGGAAGCTAGCTCGTGCGTGCTCGGGACAGAGAGCAGGGGGACAGATACGGTGCTCCACAAGAGCACCAGACAGGAGTTGGGGTAAGTTCGGGGTCAAGGCCCCGAAGCGCCCCGGCAACCAGCTGATTGCCGGAGGGGCTGCCTAAGTGAGCGCCCAACTCTGGGTTTCCCCAGTTCCTGGGCCCGGGCTCCGGGTACCCGGTTCCTCCACACGCCGCCCGGCCCGACAGACAGTTCTCCCTCAGTCAGTCCCAGGGTCTTTGGGCCGCTCGGCTCGCTGCGAGAAATGAGCCACCCGGCTAGCCCTGGCCAGCGTAGGCTAGGCCACTCCAGCGCTGGTCGCCCCGCCACTCACCAGGTCGGGCAGTCAAACAGCGGGAGGCTGGAGCCGGAGTTCGCGGCTGCCGCCATCTTGCTTCTCCCCCTCCCATTTGGCGGGCCTGAAGCACGCCGGGAAACTGGAAGACCCAGAGGAGAGAGGCGGCTTCCCAGCAGCCTGTGCGTATGCGGGCGCGCGCCCGCCCACCCACGCACGCATGGATGCGCAGACGCACAGGGCGCTTCTAGTAGCGGGGGAAACGGGTATTGGGTTTTGAGGTCTTTTTCAGTGCTTGATAGTTCGCTTTTTACAGAGGTCAGGGTTTTCCTTGGCCGGGAGTTGTTTGAGGAAAATGGGTTCGTAAGGAGGGGTTCGGTTTCCCTCTACGTTCTTTTTGCAAACACGCTCCCAGGCTCTAAGATGTTGCGACTCCACCCTTGCTCTGGGCCTGCCCCCTCAGCCTTTCCACCCCAATCTGGAGGGAAGCTAGAGGGTAGAGCTCAGAGATTGGAAAAACTCCAACTTTTCTGTTTCTCTTCTTCCGGTCCTTCTGCGTAGAGCTGCATGCACCGTACTCCCTTCCCCATTGTAACCCAAATCCGGCACTTGAGAGCTTCTGTAGATTATCTGGGAAGCTACATTTGGGGGTCATCTAAACTCTGGACAAACAGGAGCCAGGGACGGATCCAACCAGATGGCAGGCGTCCAGATCTTCAGTGTGCATGAATGAAATGGTTAATCAAGTTAAGGCCCCTTTGGATTTTAAAACTTTGGTCATAGTGACTAGATAGTGTAAGGAAGAATTAGGATTCAGGCCTGCTTTAGGCCAACAGCTGGGTGAAAGAGACCAGCAGCAGGTCCTCTGGTTGTAATGGCTTATGTCTACTGAGTGCTTACTTATCTGGGCAAGTTTATAGTTTATATGAATCATCTCATTTAATTCTCACAACTCTCTTGAAATAGGTATTATGATTCCTGAGGGGTGGGTCAGAGAGATTGAGCTACCCAGCCTCACCCTAGAACAAGTGAGTGGGATTCAAATCTAAATCAGTGTGATGCCAAAGGCCATGCTCTTTAATCATCACTCTCTGTCACATTTTGATGTTGGTGTGATCATATTAGCATGCAACTAAAACCCAACACTTTTTCACTTTTGTAGAAAACATGGGAGGATTATCTGACCTTTTTATTTTCTTTCTTTCTTTTAAGGAAACCGAATGCAAAATTATTGTTCACCCATAAAGAGGCACTGACTGCACAGCAAGTTATCTCCTTCTATGGTGGAGTTATTTCTTTTCTTGATTGCTTGCTACTGGTCCTCTAGATTTAGATTTTAAATCGAACATCAGCCTGTTCAAAAGAATTTGCCCTTGGTGACATCTCTAGGCATCAAGATTTAGCTGCAGCATAATATTAACTTAGAATTTAAAATTATCAACTCTTAGGCAGGAGAATCACATTTTCCCCTTGTCTTCAAATGCACAGTAAACTCATCCAGCAAGGATGTTAACTGATCAGATCACTTTTTTTTTTTTGGCTGTGCCTCGGGGCTTGCAAGATCTTTGTTCCTGGACCAGTGATTGAACCCAGCCCTCGGCAGTGAAAGCGTTCTAACCACTGGACTGCCAGGGAATTCCCTCAGATCACTTATCACACGAACTGGTTAATATCCTACTTTCCAGCTTTGTGATTCCAAAAATAGGCTAGGCTGATAGCTCTAAACTTGGTTTCAGGAAAACAGGCTATAGCTCCCTCCTTTGAGCACAAGGACTTGATTCTTAAGAAAAAATTAAATAGTTTCAAGTGTTTTGAGTGTAACAGAAAGGAGCAAGGTGCTTGTATCTACAGAGATTGTAACAGAAAGGAGCAAGGTGCTTGTATCTACAGAGATTGTGTGGGCCTTTGAGGTCCCATGCCCTTTTCAGGCATGAAGAGGTATTGAAGCCATGTCTAACTATCAGGGACCTAATACCATCTTATGTCAGCTTTGCCTTTCAATTTCTCAGCTTCTGTGGGTGGTCTATTATTTAATCCCTTATAATGCTGAATGTACACCCAAGAAACCTAAGCTATATTCTTACCCTTATACTTTTTTATTCCTTGGCCATGTTCCCTGTTTCCAGCATAGCTGATATTCACACTGACCTCTGATGTAATGGCACCTTACACTTTCCTGGGCCTTATAAAGCAAAATGCTCTTTGGGCACCAATGATGTCAGTAGAGATCAGCAAACTGGAGGACAGCAGTCTAGGACATGAACCTTTTGAAATGTAAAGACTGATGGGCTAGCTGCCTTTGGATTTTGGTATCTCAACGAAGACATTAATTTCTTAGACTTTGAGACTTCCTTAGAATAGAATCTAAAGATATAAGGAGCATATTGATATCAAAAAACTTCTTAGAACATCTTTTATATATGAGTGATCAAATGGAGACACTGAAAAAATTGTGTTTGTGTAGAGATGGTACAGCAGGAGACTTCATTTAGCAGGGTGGTGAATGAAAAGTTTACAAGGTGCCAACAAAAGAAAAGATATTCATGAAAACTGAATAGAAATTGCCATTACTCCGCATTGTTAAAGCTTCATGAAAGCCGTGGTGAGCAGGATAGTTTGTATCAGTGATGAATGGAGACAGTGTATAGTGTCTAAAGGTGTGGTTTTGAAGTCTGTGTGCTTGAGATCAAATCCTGGCTCCACTGCTCCTCAACTGTGTGCCCTTGGCCAGGTCGCTTACTTACTATGCCTCTGTTTCCTAATCCATAAAAAGAGGATGAGAAAAATATATCTCCTCGATAGTTTTGTGAGTGTAAGATGATAAATGTAAAATGTAAAACATTCAGCATAGTAAATTGCTTGTAGTAAGGGCTCCAGTATTAGCCCACAAATGACCATTCACATACAGAGAGAGCACTTCCTCAAGCCTCTAAATTCCTTCAGTAGACTGCGATTCCTGGCCTCAGCTTCCTCAGTTGTAAAGCGATGCAGCTAGTCTAGATGAGTGGTTCAGATATTCGAGATGTCATGGACCAGGGGAAAGTAAGTATTATAGGGTTGTCAACTTTTATTTTGCCAACTGAGATTTTTTTTTTTTTTTTGCGATACGTGGGCCTCTCACTGTTGTGGCCTCTCCCGCTGCGGAGCACAGGCTCCGGACACGCAGGCTCAGCAGCCATGCCATATGGGCCCAGCCGCTCTGCGGCATGTGAGATCCTCCCAGACCGGGGCACGAACCCATGTCCCCCGCCGGCCAGGTCGCTTACTTACTATGCCTCTGTTTCCTAATCCATAAAAAGAGGATGAGAAAAATATATCTCCTCGATAGTTTTGTGAGTGTAAGATGATAAATGTAAAATGTAAAACATTCAGCATAGTAAATTGCTTGTAGTAAGGGCTCCAGTATTAGCCCACAAATGACCATTCACATACAGAGAGAGCACTTCCTCAAGCCTCTAAATTCCTTCAGTAGACTGCGATTCCTGGCCTCAGCTTCCTCAGTTGTAAAGCGATGCAGCTAGTCTAGATGAGTGGTTCAGATATTCGAGATGTCATGGACCAGGGGAAAGTAAGTATTATAGGGTTGTCAACTTTTATTTTGCCAACTGAGATTTTTTTTTTTTTTTTGCGATACGTGGGCCTCTCACTGTTGTGGCCTCTCCCGCTGCGGAGCACAGGCTCCGGACACGCAGGCTCAGCAGCCATGGCTCACGGGCCCAGCCGCTCCGCGGCATGTGGGATCCTCCCGGACCGGGGCACGAACCCGCGTCCCCTGCATCAGCAGGCGGGCTCCCAACCACTGCACCACCAGGGAAGCCCGCCAACTGAGATTTTTAAGTGAAGACTGTCACCTAACATCACCACCTTTTCATAATCTTTTTAAAAAGTGAGAAGGCCATTAGCTCAGATTCAAAGATGGTACTCTAAAAAGTCCACTATGTTATTTTTCTCATTTCTCCATGTACTGTAAAATCAGAGTCCCACATTAAAATTTCTATTATTTCAAGTTTATCTTTTAAAAATTAAGTAGTATATTGTTAATCAAATTTCATTTTGGATAAGTATTAAAATGAACTACTCAGTTGGCCTAAAAGCAGGATCAAGGGTTGGAATTAGAACCTTTCAAGCTATTTCCTGGCTAAATGGAGATTCTAAAGTAGTAGATGTAATTCATAGTACTGGAAAGCAGTACTGAAAAATTCCTTGAAACCTAGGGATACGCTAAACATGCTTAGAAAAGGAAGGAAGCAGGTGATTTCTGGCCCTGGGAAACAGGATAGAATGAAATCTGAGTTAGGTTCTGGTCTGCATTTAGTGACCAAAAGCAAAAGCTTCATTCCCATGACTGAGAACTGCCCCTGAACAGAAGGGGGAAAACCCCAAAAAACAAAAAAACTGAATGGAGGAGGCTCGGTATGTTTTAGTTTGCACTGACTGAAGCATGATTTCATTTTGATTTTTTTCCCCCAGTGGTGCAAGGCAGTGTATCACCACCCCTTAACAAAACAAAACAAAACCTACCCAGGGAGCATTGGTCTAGCAGCTAGCAAGTTCTTGTTCTGGAACATTCGCAGAGGAAGTGGCCAGCATGACACCCTCTACTTTACCCTATACTACAGTACTACTGTTTTAATTCACTTGAAGAGAAAACATTCTATAAAGAAAGGAGAAAGAGAAAAGGAAAGGAATACAGAGACAAACATACAGTTGGTATGTTCAGACCACATCCCTATGGTCTTTATAATCAAAGAATTTTATAGCTTTAAGAGAACTATTGAGGAAACTAGGGGCCTATGGGTTAAATAACTTGTCCAAATACCTACAGCAAGTTAATGACAGAGCTAAGATTCCCGAGGCCTTCTGTACCCCAGTCTAGTTTTTGACCTCCAAACCAATGGTTTTCAACCATGGTTTTACCTGAGAATTATCTGGAGCTTTTAGAAGTCTCTATACCCAGGCTATAACCCAAACTAACTAAATTAGAATCTTGTGGCACGGTCACCTAGGTATCAGTATTTTTTTAGTTTCTAATGTGAAGCCATGGTTAAGAGCCACTGCCCTAAACCATGGTGCCCTAAAGGTGGACAAAGCACAGTCAAGGAGGATTCTGTGAACAGGTTTGTTAGGACCACTTAGCAGAACCTCTTGGTGACTCTACTACAAATTCCAGGCCATTGAAATTC